AGGCTTAAGTTGAAGAAAGTAGGGAAAAGCACTAGGCCACTCAGGTATGACCTGAATCATATCCCTGATGAATATACAGTAGAGGTGACAAATAGATTTAAGGAATTAGATCTGATAGACAGAGTGCCTGAAGAACTATGGACGGAGGTTCGCAACATTGTACAAGAGGTAGCAACAAAACCATCCCAAGAAAAAGAAATGCAAGAAAGCAAAATGCCTCCCTGAGGAAGCTTTACAAATAGCTGAGGAAAGAAGGGAAGCGAAAGGCAAGGGAGAAAGAGAAAGATACACCCAATTGAATGCAGCATTCCAGAGAACAGCTAGAAGAGATAAGAATGCCTTCTTCAATGAACAGTGCAAAGAAATAGAAGAAAGCAATAGAATAGGGAGGCCCAGAGATCTCTTCAAGAAAATTGGAGATATGAAGGGAACGTTTCATGCAAAAATGGGCATGATAAAGGACTAAAATGGCAGGGACCTAACAGAGGCAGAAGAGATTAAGAAGAGGTGGCAAGATTACACAGAAGAACTATACAAGAAAGATCTTAACGTCCCTGATAACCATGATGGGGTTGGTCACTGACTTCGAGCCAGACATCCTGGAATGTGAAGTCAGACCTTAGGAAGTCTGAGCAACAACAAAGCTGGTGGAGGTGACAGTATTCCAGCTGTGCTATTCAAAATATTAAAAGACGATGCAATAAAAGTGTTACACTCAATATGCCAGCAAATTTGGAAAACTCAACAGTGGCCGCAGGATTGGAAAGGGTCAGTTTACATTCTGATCCCAAAGAAGGGCAATGCCAAAGAATGTTCAAACTACCGCACCATTGCACTCATTTCACATGCTAGCAAAGTTATGCTCAAAATCCTACAAGCTAGGCTCCAGCAGTATGTGGACCGAGAACTACCAGAAGTACAGGCAGGATTTCGGAGAGGGAGAGGAACTAGAGATCAAATTGCCAACATACGCTGGATCATGGAGAAAGCTAGGGAGTTCCAGAAAAACACCTACTTCTGCTTCATTGACTATGCTAAAGCCTTTGATTGTGTGGATCACAACAAATTGTGGCAAGTTCTTAAAGAGATGGGAGTACCAGACCATCTTATTTGTCTCTTGAGAAACCTATATGCGGGTCAAGAAGCAACAATGAGAACTGGACACGGAACCACTGATTGGTTCAAAATTGAGAAAGGAGTTTGGTGAGGCTGTATACTGTTGCCCTGCCTATTTAACTTCTATGCAGAGCACATCATGAGAAAGGCAGGGCTAGATGAATCACAAATTGGAATTAAGATTGCTGGGAGAAATATCAACAACCTCAGATATGCAGATGATACCACTCTAATGGCAGAAAGTAAAGAGGAACTAAAGAGCCTCTTGATGTGGGTGAAGGAGGAGAGCATAAAAGTTGGCTTGAAATGCAACATTAAGAAAACTAAGATCATGGCATCCGGTCCTCTCACTTCCTGGCAAATAGATGGGAAAGAAATGGAGGTAGTGACAGATTTTATTTTCCTGGGCTCCAAGATCACTGCAAATGGGGACTGCAGCCAAGAAATTAAAAGACGCTTGCTCCTTGGGAGGAAAGCTATGGCAAATCTGGACAACATACTAAAAAGCAGGGACATCACGCTGTCAACAGAAGTGCGTATAGTCAAGGCTATGGTTTTCCCAGTTGCAATGTATGACTGTGAAAGCTGGACCATAAGGAAGGCTGAGCACCGAAGAATTGAGGCCTTTGAATTGTGATGCTGGAGAAGACTCCTGTGAGTCCCTTGGACTGCAAGACGATCAAACCAGTTAGTCTTAGAGGAGATCAACCGGGACTGCTCTTGAGAAGGCGAGATACTGAAAATGAAACTCAAATACTTTGGCCACCTAATGAGAAGGAAGAACTCCCTGGAGAAGAGCCAAATGCTGGGAACAATAGATGGCAAAGGAAGAAGGGGGCGGCAGAGAATGAGGTGGCTAAATGGAGTCACTGAAGCAGTCGGCATGAGCTTAAGTGGACTCCGGGGGATGGTGGAGGACAGGAAGGCCTGGAGGAATGTTGTCCACGGGGTCACAATGGATTGGACATGACTTTGTGACTAACAACAACAACAAACAGTCCACTAGGGCACATGTTGAAGTATTGGGATGATTGGCCCGATACGGGAGGAAAATATTAGAAAAGGATGATAAATTATTGTTGTTTTGAATGAACCCAGGAGAATATATTGGCAGTATATAGTCAAGGGAATTAAAGAAGCAGTGCCTCAGTCTGTTAATGGACATAAGACTTGTTTTTGGAACAAAAGAAAGAATGAAACTCCATCTGACTGGGTGGAGAGACTGAAGGAACAGATGCAGAAATATGGGCAACTGGATCCAGGAAATCCAGCTCATCAGATATTGCTGAAGTATCAGTTTGCAGGGAAGGCATGGGAGGATATTAGGCTATTATAAGTTGGATGAATGGGAGGCAAGGATGTTGGAAGATTTGTTGAGGGAGGCTCAGAAAGTGTATGCGAGGAGAGAAGATGAGAAAGAAAAAAGGAAGGTTAAAATGATGGCACAAGTCGTCATGATGACCAAGGGACCTGTGGGTCCCCGAATTAGCAGGCCCTCTGGACTGCTTGGGGAAAGGAGGGTGGCTCTGGGGAGCCTAGGCAAAAGAAAAGGGAGTGGGGAGAACCTTTTTGGGAAGAAATCTGCGCAATCTGCAGGAAGGAAGGGCATTGGAAGAGAGAATGTCCTCAGAGTAGGACTGAGAAGGAATTGGTGGGAATTATGAGGTTTGACTAGAGGGGTCAGGGGGCTTGCCTGTTTCTGGGTCCAGAAGAAACTGTTTATGGTGGATTCTGGGACCACATGCTCCACACAAAACATAATTCTAAAGGGAATGAAATTGGGTAAAGGGGAATTGACAGCTCAAGGGATGGGAGGTAATCTGGTAAAAGTGAAAATGTTTGAACCTGCTCAGGTAAAACAGGAGCATGGGGAAACTGCTGTGTGGTGTGATTTTGTATTGGAGGAGGGAAGCTGCAACTAGTCAGGAGAGATCTCATAGCTAGACTGGGACTTTTGGTAAAAGGTGTGGGAGGGGAGGTAGAAATGAAACTAATGAGGACTGATTGTGATTTATCTCTAAAAACACAGGCAGCTGGTGCTTGTGAGGGCTGGAAGGGAAATTGAACACATTGTGTTTACAGGCTTGAAGAAAAGGGGGAGAGGAAGGGGGGACATGATGCCTCTCCCTACGAAAATTTATTGTGTTGGGCTCGAGTGAGCAGGCTATAACTTAAGAGCAAGAAAGGGCAGATGCCACTATGACAGGTTCTGCCTGGGTTTGTGTTTGTGTTTAACCATTTACCACCTGTGAGTAGTATAATTAGAAGAATCAGAATCCTAGTTTTTCCAGAGGATTCTGAAAAGGTGGTAAGCTTGTTTCAAAGCACTAATTGGACTTATGCCAGGAGGGCAGGATGCATTCCAATAAACCAAAACTCCAAAAACTAGGTTTCAGGTTGGATGTCAGAAGATACTCTCTGAGGGTTAGGAACCGTACTACCCTATCTAGGGGGAAAAGGTGAAATCCCACAGTACAAAACCAAGGATAAATTTCTCAAATGATACATACTTGGTCTGTCAGTCTCTTTGTCTTTCCTCAGGGAGAAAAGGTTGCTGACCCAAACCCCACCAGTGGACTTGGTGGTGCACAAGTTTGAACCAGGACAGTGGTCTTGCTGAAGGTGTGGAAAGAGGCAAAACTGCAGCCAATGTGGGAAGGACCCTACCAAATCCTACTTACCACCGAAACGGCAGCCTGCACCATGGAGAAAGGCTGGACCCACCATACCTGAGTAAAAGGACCAGTGGACGAACCTCCAGAGGACCCTACTTGGACTGTAGCCACGGCAGATGCTCCCCTCAAATTAACATTTAAAAAGACACCAAGGGGTCTTTGAACCCTGAAGTATCAGTACTAGTCTGGGACGCAGGACCAGACAGTTATCCTGGGTGGAGCTCCTGGGAAAGATACTGAAAGCTAGTTTGCCCACTGATAGATGGGTGGACCACAGGTCCAGGGCTTGTAGTGGGGGTTGTATGCGGGCATTAGGAAGTTAGACTAGAGCGAGGGCTAGACAAACCCCAAATTAAGGAATTGGTGTAGTTTTGGGTACTGTCAACAAGAAGATTGGAGCAGGACAAGTGGAATCCTAGGTACTTCCTAAGGAAAATAGGGTTTAAATTGGTGCAAGGATTCAGATTGAGAAAGGATAGAGCGTGGGCCGACCTCCAAAGTGGAGAGTGAGCCCTCTCTTTACTCCAGACTGCGCCCCAAGTCCAGGTCATTCACTCAGTCCTGTGCAATTGTGAATATCAGTCTTTAGGGGATTTTGCTGCAGGATCATGGGATCCCTTGGAGGCAGGCCTAGGATGATATACTTATTGCAGAGAGGGCTTCTGGGTGAATATTTAATCCTTGTGGGAATACTGATCCTACTGATGGATGTAAGATGTGAGGACCTTGGGGAACCCAACTCCACTGTTTACAATGATCTATTGGAAGATGATGAGTGGAGAGGAGGAGCAGGGTATCCAGTTAAATTGTGGGTAAATGTTACCAGAGGACCATTACAGACTGTTCAATTTGATGCTTGCCAGGTACTTGACTGTGGAATACTGGATAATCAAAAAAAACTTAGTAGCTATGATAAATATTTATGTCCAGAAGACCGGGCACGGCTTCATAGGGGAGCACCCTGTCCAGGATGGAGCAATGTGTGGTTCACGACCGCCTTTAATGGGTGGATATCACCCCAAGCAAAAGGGAAAGCCCTAACAAGTCAAATCACCATGGTTAGGGGGTTGACAGGACCAGACTGTGAGAACCTCGAATGCAACCCCATAATACTCACCATAAAAGATGCAAACAGTGAAATAAGTAGAACGTATGGGCTGGGGGTCGATGTAGCAGGTACTGACCCCGTTGCTAGGTTTAGAATAGTAGTCCAAAGCCCACTGTAACAGGGAAGCCGACCCAAGAATACTGCAGCCCTCCCAATGATACAGAAGTGGTCCCCTCTAAATAACCCAGCAATAGTAAGACTGACTGAAATTTATGACTTGAAATAGAAACGGGATATGGAGAAGTGAATGCCTGGTAGAATGGATCAAATACACAGTGAAAAGTATGAGTAAGAGCAACTGTTATGCCTGTGCACCTGGCCAACCGATAGCTCAGGTAGTTCCTTTCCCTTTGGGATGGGAGATGGATCCTGATCGGATGCAGTGTATGCTGTCTCTACCAGGAAGAAACTGCCTGGGGAAATGAAAGTTGCCGATCTCTTTCACTCCTATTACCACCTGTGAAAGGTAAGGACATGAAAGTGCCCCCAGTAATCTCTGAGGCCTATGGAATTCCCTCCACTTGCCTGTCCAAACAAGGTAAGAACTTCACTAGAACATGAGAACTGGAGTGTCCTGAATATCACCAAAGCAGCTGACAATCAGGGAAATTACTCCAAGCTGACTTTTGGTGGTATTGTGGAGGGAAGATTTTGAGGCTTGTGCTTGGTCAGGCACCTGTGCACTTGTACACTTGGCAATCACATTCCCCTGGCATTCCAACAAGAAGCAATTACAAAAGGATGTAGAGTGAGGAGAGATGTCTTAGGAACATTGCTTGATTATAAAACGTGTATTGATGCAATAGGAGTCCCAAGTGGAGTCCTGGATGAGTTTAAAGCCAGAAATCAAATAACAGGATTTGAATCATTTCTGTTTTGGTGGACGACGACAAATAAAAATGTAGACTGGATAAATTACATCTACTATAACCAGCAAAGATTCTTGAATTACACATGAGATGCTGTAAAAGGAATAGCGGAACAATTAGATGCCAACAGCAAGATGGCTTGGGAAAACAATGGTTTTAGATATGATCTTAGTGGAAAAGGAAGGGGTTTGTGTAATGTTAGGAAGTAAGTGCTGCACGTTTATTTCGAACAATACAGCCCCTGCTGGAACCATCGCAAGGGCCCTCAAAGGTCTTACTACTCTAGACAAAGAGTTAGCTGAGAATTCAGGAATCGATAGCTCCCTCACAGGATGGTTAGAGTCATGGTTCAGAAAATGAAAAGGTATGGTAGTTTCAATTTTCACATCCTTAGTAGTAGTTGCAGGGGCATATTAACAGCCTTAGTTTGTTGCAGCATTCTTTGCATGAGTGGATTAACCTCAAGACTAATAGAAACAGCCATATCTAAACAGATACCCTTACAACCCCCACCTTACAGTGAGGATGTGATGTTGATGGAAGAAGAAATAGGTTCTGATAAGGAAGATGGGAAGGCTGTACCTGGGGATTGTGCCCTAATCTTAGCTTCATTTGAAGCTCCGTACAATAACTATGGCAGCTTGGAAAGAAGGGAAGCAAAATGAGGAGTAACAAGAACTGTCAAAATAGAAAAGCGGGGATTTGTGTAAAACAATGCAGAGTTGTTACTCAGTGAAGAAGGAAGTTGAGACAAGTTAAAACACATAGACAAAACCAACTGAAGAATATTTTTTGATTCCTGGAAGACAAGTGACTCACCTGAAAGAACCATCTGTAGAGACAAGTGTCCACCTTAGGCATATTGGATAGGCTGTAAACCCTCCAGTACCCAGCCAATGGGGGAAAGGGGGAGGCTTCTTGCAGATGGGGATGGAATAAAGTAAGATGGCAAGCTCTGTTTGGTATGCCTACTTGCTTGGGACACCCATTTTTGCAAAATTATGAAATAAATAGAGCTGCTTGTATTCATGTTGTCTGGTATCAATTTTTCAACTCTGGCTAAATAATATTTTTGTCACTCATAGTAATGAAATGATTAGTGTTACAGTTCATTTATATTGCAATTTATTGTAGATCCCACTGTTGATTCAAGTATACTGCTTTTTTACTCCAACTTGCTGTTTCAGTGGAGCTGCTCTATAACAAAAATGATCCGAGATGGATGATTGGGTTTAGTCATTACAGCTTTCTCCATTTTGGATCATTAGTAGACAGGAACAAAAAATTGACTTGCCTTCCACTCATTTGTTGCATTTTGAATATTTTCATTTTAAATGGTATAAACATGTGTAATTATGCATTCCCTTCATGCTGAAGCAATAGAGTTGTATGGGCTCACTCTGGTGTTGGCTAATAGCAACATGAACCACCACCATCATCATCATCATCATCAAAAATCTACTGGCAAGCCTGGTAAAAAAAAATCAACTTGCCTGACAATCATGTTTTGTCTCAGGCAGAACTGACAAACACCAGAAAGAGTAAGATGTACTAAAGAACACTTGCAAATAAAAATAAGGATCACATGTGGGAAAGCTGGTTAAATGTACACAAACACATGACTTTGCCTGGTCAACATCCACCTGGAATTTGGAGGGACAATGGTTGAAGGAAAGCCAAAGGAACCAAAGAATGTATGTTTCTCAGAAAAGCTGGATTTATTTCACATTGTGATCTGTTTCTAAGGAAGTGTGGGGGGAGAAAGAAGAAATAAAAGTTCCTTGCTTACCCTTTAGTCTGCTGGTTGCAACTTTTTCAGAAGCCAACCCTTTCTGCAACTTTTTTTGGTTAGTCTGGTATTACATTCTCAAGCAATTGTGTTGTTTGATGGTGCTGAGAAATCTGTGGGTTTCTTAACAACTTTTTTCTGTGCAGCTTATTAATTACATTCACTAGTCCACACAAGGGATGCTGAAGAGGCTATGGAGAATAAGGAGTGCGTTCATTTTCACCATGCTAGGATCCAAAACACAAAAAATACCTTCATAGTTCAAGGTGCATGGAGTTGGAATGATATTTCTTAAGCTGAAACCCCGCCTCAATGTGAGATGTTTGATCTTTGAAACTGAGTGTTGCAAAGCAGTGGAGGTCTGCTGTTCAAAGTGCTGTCGAACCCCCTTAAAATGTAACAGAATCCTGATTCTTACACTATACTTTAGATTTATCTGTGGCTGTCAGAACAAGCTTGTTTTCTGCCCTTATCCCAAAATAGACATTTCTTACGTTGTGCATTTCTGCTTTTAAATGGAGATGGGAAAAAGTCTTCTTTCTTGGGATCCGTAATTAAGTATAATTCTAGTTAGCATTCTAGTTTCCTTCAGCTGTCTATCAACTAGAACTATCTCAAGCCACAATTGCAAAAAAAAAAAAAAAAAAAAAAAATTTTTTTTTTTTTTTTTTTTTTTTCTTCCACTTTTTTAAAAAAAAAAAAATTCTCACACCCAATTATAAAAAAAAAAAAAAAAAAAAAAACCTTGTGCTGTCCTTGTTTATAGTTGATACAACCTTGTGGTGAAAGAATGATTAATCTCCACTCTTATCCAGAACATCCTTCAAAGTCCCTACTCTCCCTACCCTTTTTAATTCACCAAGGAACAATTCTTGCCTTTTTTGCCAGCACCCAAAGACCTTGACAAATAGGATCTTAAGATAGAATGCTGCTATCATAAATGTACTGGCTTGGATCCTAAGTTAACTCAGGGTACAGCCCTATATTTGTTTACGCAGAAAAAAGCTTTTCTGTCTGAACACACATAGGATTGCTTTCTTAAATTCACAGTTCTTAAATTAACAGGCAAATTTATCTTTGGATCGAAGATTATGGATTACCAAAACTCCCCATAAGCATTCATAGAGGTTCTTCACAGGTGTTAGTCCTAGTAGCAGAGAGGGCATTGTTCAAGTTCCAGTGCCATTTGGAATCTGCTTCTGGCAGAAAAATATCTTGCGCTGGTATTGTAAGCATACTTGCTTGGCAGTAAATCATCAGTAAACATGTTTAGAATCAGGGCAACATTGTGAAATACGTAGTTGACAGAACTTATCCCCACCCCCAAAACTGGCAAATAACCATATATGACCCAAAACATGGAATACTGATAAAAGATGCTGTTCAGGCCCTGCTATCCCACCCACTCTTGTGACCCTAGGGAGCATTAGAATTAGGAAAAGGTATTCAAAACAGTAAAATTGTGGCTACTTTTTAAACTGAAAAAAAGTGGTTTGTGATTTAAATAGTGGTTTGTGATTTTAAAAAGTCCCAGTGACTGTTTTTAGGATCTCCATCATTCCTTTGTTTTGGTCCCCTGTTCTGTATGTGCAGAATTAGCACATTGTCAGTAGCCACTTTTAGTAGAGCTCATCTTTAGGCTTGTGATTAAGCTTTTCCAAGCAAAGTCACATGCCATTAGAAAACCTGTCTGCTTCTGTATTGCTAAGTAGCAATGGGAATTATTTCCCACTGAGTGCAAGAACAGCTGACACAGCACAATACATGCAGCAGTATGAGAGTGAAAACTTGAAGCCCTCACAAACTTGTCTCAACAGGAAACCATGGTCACATGCGATGACCTGTCTTAGGAAAGATGTACTAGTACTGGAAAAGGACAGTATGTATTTTTGCAATAAACTGGTAGGTGCTCGAGGTGGGAAAGAAATCTGCATTATATGGTTTAAACGTTCATACCCTCATAAAATGAGTTATCACAAACTAAGACATCACAATATTTACCTTTTTGTGTTAAAGCTTTATCTTATTTAGTCTAAAAGTACCAGCCACTGGAATTACAATGACTGACAACTGAGTATTTTACTGTTGAGTATTTTTTGTTCTCCTCTCCTAGCACTATACATGTATCACACCAATTCTGAGAAAAACAATGCTGCAACAATGAGTGTGCTTAAAAAGATACATATTTTTAGAGAAAGATAGACTGTGTTTCTGAGAAAATTTATTAGCAGAGCAACGTTGTTTTCGATGATCTTCTATGTTAAAAAATTGATTGAAGACATATGGGGCAGATATACTATCTAGTTTCTCTTGATTCCACTATCTGCCAAGGAACTTCTGTGTTTTGTCTCTTGAGTACAGCTGGATTTTGTATGTCCAAAATCCACCAAATCTCAGCATCAACCATGGTTTCACCCATATGCAAAAACACCTCTCTGCTCCTTGTGTTGAATGAGCATCAGTGGCCACTGGCACAACAGGGATTTACTGATTCTAAAAGCCTGTTTCCACTCATTTTTGGGATTAGAACCACTAAATTCCTGTTGTACCCAGGATTGCTCCTGCTGTTGCAGACACAACAGTACACTGCTTGGCTTCTTAGCAACTATAGGCAGAGTCCTTCTTAAGAGCAGAACTGAAATAATGTACTTGATGCTGGTGCAAAGATAACATTTATGCAAGAAGCCCTACACTAGTGGATTGACAGCAGGGAATACAACACCTAATGTAGACTATGCATATGACAGGCAACCTTATGTGTAACAATTTTGTCAGTTGCATGTAGAAACATATCAAGGTCATCAGTATTTTTATATGCAATTACTTTGCAATCAAGGTTTTGGAACCAAATTGTTTTTTGGCCAACATTTTAAAACTCCAGGGTTTTAAAACTGTGAAATGGTCAATTTCTAGGCCAAGCTCAATCTGCATGAATAAGATGTACCATGAAAATATAAAGGTATTTTTACACATACAAATCTGTAGTTCTTAAACTCTACAGGAACTGTTTCATCTATTGAGTTGAAGGGCTTTATTTATTAAATATATCAATTGATTGCATGAATCAAATTGACTGCACAGAAAATATTCTGATGAGGTTCTTTTTTCAGTCTTGTGGTTCCAGAAATGGAAAAGTTCATCTATAGCCAAAAAGCTGGTTCAGATTCCACAAGGAAACTGTCCTAGCTTACTGTGCTACGGGGTGTTCTTTGAATTGACCAATAAGCCACATCAAACCTTTTCGGAAATGCCCTTCATTTTCAAAAGTGGTTTGTCTATGGGTAGCTGCTCTTTTTGAGTGATGAAAACATCAAAATCGCTTTGATCTCACAAAAACAACTTCACATTTACTGTATCCAGGCCCTTATGCCCAATATGGCTTCACCAAGAAATGTCCTGGTTATTAATTCAGAACAGCTTATTGGTTAACTGAATAAAAAAAGAGAGAACATGATGAATAAAACAAATATTTTGACTATACATATTGGTTTTTATTTTGAAGTCACACTGATATAGTTATTTGAAATACTTGATATTTATTAGAAAATAATGAAATTATTTACATGATGGAAACAAAACCATTTGAGCACTCTGGAATGACAACTTCATAATAATGCAGCATATGGACAGCTCAGGCAACATATTTTCCAAGGATATCACCATCTCTAAATAAGAAATAATCCTGCAAACAGAGAATACAAGTTAGTATCTGCCGAAGACAAACAATAGCTAGTTCAAAGGTCAAGGCATTGCCATTCTTACATCAGAGAGACTGATTTACAGCCACATCATGGATCAGTGATCCACAAACACTAACCCAAGGCCATTTCTTCTACTATTGTGGCAGGCAGTGGATGTACCGAGATGAAGAAACACTAATTTCCTCAGGTCAGTTTTTAGGCACGTCACCCAGAGTTTTCTGATTTTAAGGACATAGTCTAATATCTTACAGCTGTCTAAATATATCTCACCACGTTTCCTCTTATCTGGGACATATATATATGAAAATAAGTCTTCCCCAGCCATCAGCAGAGCCACAGAGGTGGTTCTTATGCTGGTGCTTTTAGTTTTGGAAACAGCAGAACCTACCAGTGAGTACAATGACTTCAACAGCATTGGTGTAATGTTCATTCTTTTGCAAGCATTCAGAAGAATTTTAAGGGGAAATCCGTATTAAAGGCCAAACTAGAATTCATCTATTCAAGACCATGTGAGACCTATCAAACATTCATGTTTGCCTACCTTTACCACACTCAAGGCTGGTCAGTAAAGCTAATTCTGTACATGATTTAACCTCAGAGCAGTACAAACGGATGCTGAAAACTGTGTTGTCCTGTTTTATACTACCCTGAGTAAACACTTAAATTTAACTACTGTTACCTTATGCAGAAATGAAATATAAGTTCACTAGCTATATGTGAGTTTTGCCTGCTCCACATGCTGGTTCCTCCAAAGGGAGTTGATCACAAATTTCTCTCATTACTTTGTGATAAACAGGCCTACCATCATCAAATCTTGCATTATAGAAAGAGGGCAGTGGGGTTCCAAGTCTCTAGCTAGTTACCTCTGGATGATGATGAAAAAAAGTGAAAAGAATGAGTTTACAGAAGGAAGGGACTGAAGCAGAATGTGTCAACATCTACGAGCTGGTCTGATGAAACAGGTAATGCAGGGGCTGTAGGAGCTAGGTTAGGTATATGGGAACATGAAGATCTTAAAACTGCTTAGAAGGGGTGTATGTGTGTGCTTTTATATCACCGAGATAAACATTTCTTCCACTTAAAAGTTTACAATTTTTAAAGAAATTAACCTGGTGCAAATCGTGAAACAGTGTAATAGATTTAATTTACATACTAACCTTGTCATCCAATATAACTTTTGTTCCACCATACTCAGGCAACAGAACCTTTTCACCAACTGCTACACTTACTGGGTGAATTTCTCCATCCTAAAGTCAAAGGAAGAAGTTATTCTAAATTTGTATAACAGAGCACTAAAGAAAAGTTTTGGTGACTGCACAGGGAAGAAGAAAAGATGGAAGCAATACCATACAGCACTGGATTCCTACAGAAATTATGTAATAAGAAAACATCAAACAGCTCAGTCCTACAAGTAACTCCGTCAAGACAGCAGCTCATAGGATAGAGGACAGAAGTGATCAGAAAATAGATTACAAGATGTTTTAGAATGTAACTCCCAGCATCCCTGACCACTGGCCAAGTTAGCAGGGGCTTCTGTGAGCTGGAACTCCAAAATATCTGGAGACCAACCTTCTGACCATGCCAGATCATAGTATAGAATTCCAATCCTATCTGCAGAAGAGATGCCCTCTATCAACATCTCTGCTTGAGCCCACTGTTGTCTTTGGAAAATGATGCAACGTAGTGTGAAGCAAACGTAGGAGCAAAGTTGTTTATGCCTCACTTCTGGGACACCCTACAGGTGTTTGTGGCCCACAGCAGTGCAACAAAGAAAGCAACAAAGTTAAATGCCTCTGCATGCCAGGTTCAGAAATATTAATCTACTACAACCTTAAACTGATTCATAGGCTGTAATCATGGTATGGACAACCTGGTGCCCTTCAGATATTTTGGACTACCACTCCTACCATTCCTGACAGATGGCCTGGCTGGTATGTTAGGTGCTACATAATTTTTCAATGAGAAGATTGTCATATTTTATTCTAATTTTCACTGCCAGTTATTTGAGGCAAAAACCATTATATTTCAGGAAGCTAAACTTTATATATAACCTTCCCATTACACAAGTAATGCTTACTTATTAGCCTAACACTTTGTAATGCTGTAAGCCAAGAGTAGTGAATTTCCGACCTACAGATGTTCCCTATTCAGTTCACAAAGGGTTGCGCATCTTTCATGGGTGTTGTTACTCCTCGAAGCTTTGCAGATGCCATGGTAGCTACTGGGGGCATGGGGAAAAGGCCAAAAGAGAACACTCTTCATCCTAATAGCCAATGCTGAGCCCCACCTTGTCCAGAGAGCAAAGCTATGGTCCCTGGGTGAGTGTCCCAGAGACTATAAGATGTCTACCATTCTTCCCTTCAAGGTTGGCAACAGTGCTCTGCCTCCATGCAGCTGAAAGAGAAAAATGCACCAGCTGCCTCTCTGGGGGTCAGAAAATCAACTTCAGAAAGTGGGGCAGCAAGGAGAGGAGACTGAAGAGTCAAGGATAGGATTTATTCTGAGCCTCCCCCAGTACCCTTAGTTGACCAAGTTATTCAAAAAGCATACAATGAAAAATAAAAATCCATTTACCTTGCCTCTAGAGCCTGATCCAGTTGCCACAACAGTGGCTTGTAGTACTTTTCCTTGAGATTTTTCTGGAAGCATGATGCCTCCTTTAGTTACCGTCTCAGCTGCACATCTTTCGACCAGCACACGGTCAAAAAGAGGAAGGAAGTTTTTAAATGCCCTCCCAGCCTGTGAAAATGAATCACAAATCATCACATAAAACCAACTTTTGCCCCCTCAGCCACAAATACTTTGCCATGAAAAACAGCAAGTGTGTCTATCACTTGCATACAACATGAAAGGTGAGGATTTTTTTTTAATGCTGAGATTTATTCCAGCCCTGTTATTGACAATGAGGCAGTACACATGCCAATACACTGTATATGAAACCACTTAAAGCTAAACTGAAATATTCCATATAATTTTCCCATGTGACCTTTATATGCATGCTTTACAAGTGCCTGTAAGCAGCACCAGTTCCTACAGATCAAGGACATCGAATATGGAAGCAACTTACAGAACACACTGTAAAGATGCTGAATGCTTTCCTGTCTGATTCCATAAATCAGGCCTGTGGGGGAGGCAACTTATTGAGTTCCAGATGTTTTGATTACTACCTCTATAACTGGTAATACTTCCTGAGGCTGATGAGAACTGTAGTAAAAACATTTTAAGGGCAACAGGTTTTCCAGCCTTACCATAGATTTGTTTTAAAAGCTATCTACAAAATAATAATCTTCCATAAAGGAACAATACGAGCCAAAAATGTTATTTAAAATACTATTGGCCAAATTGCCACATCAATTTAATTAATAATTTTTAGACACATATGTGAAGGGAAGGTAGAAATGCAAGGCAGAACTTTAAAACATATGCACTTCAAACTGAAAAACCAAGTATGTCAGTAAGAATCATTGTGGGGCACTTTCCAAACTTTGATGATTTAAAAATCATTTTAAAAAGAAGGTAATTCTGATCAATAAGATGAGCTTGAGTTTAACTGTAAAGCATCTCAAGAAAATTATTAACCACAAGAAATTTATGAAACGATTCAGCAATGTAAAACGTGTTGAACTCTGACCAGCAGTCATAAGTTTTTGACCAGTACAATATTCATTAACCTTAGTGTCAACCTTTAAGAAAATCTCTAACCATTCTGATGCATTGAAACAGTTAATTATAGACTTTACTATTACCTGTAAACCTAAAACAGCACATGGGTTCTGGATGGCTTGTCAACCACAACAATCCACCCTCACCAGGTTTTCATGTAACAAGAAACTGTAGGAGTTTGGACTGCCAATCTGACATCTATGGGCACCACAATTCACCATGGTTAATATGTCAGAACGAGCTGCTGTGATTGTGTGAACCAGGTCAGTGTGGAAAAGGGAGCTAACAAATTCAGATGGCATTAGCTCTCCCCTTATCCACCCCATGCCTTTCAGCTGCTTCCACTGGCATAGAGGCTGGAGCAAGGACACTTATAGAAACAGCCAGAAGCCTGGCTTAACTGAATCCTTTAGAGGGCACTGTTGCAGAAGCAGAAAGAAAATTTGAACTATTTTCTTCCTAGAGAAAAAAGCCAGCCACTAAGTAGCGTACAACTGGTTACAAAAAATAAAATTGCTACATTCATTTTTTCCAGACAAGCCAGAAACCAACTGATTCAAAAAGCAGTTTAAAATAACAATCCTACATATTCCATATTACCTATACATCTCAGAATAAGACCCATTAAATTCAATGGGTCTCATTTTTGAGACCTGTCTTCAGTGCAGATATAGCATTGAGAATGAGTGATGAACAGTTTTAAAGGCTTCTGAAAGTGCATCTCAATAGTACATAGCTTTACCAAAAGATCATACTAGCAGTTCTTTCCATCAGAAAATACAAAACATAAGTTGGAAAAATCCACTATCTCTTTAAAGGAAGTGTTTCAAACTTATCTAGGTTCAAAGCTCATAAAAATGAAGCCCTTGCACTTAAAACTAATTTTGGCCTAGTTTTTAATTAGAAGACTTCTTTGTTACCACAGATCCCTCAGATGGCATCCTTCTTCTAACTGGTGCCAACAGCAGCCCCTGTGCACTGTTACAGGTAGCCACATTGCAGTAAAAGATCATATTAATAGTGGGACAAGTTACTGGATTTGCACTAACTAATCTGGCTTAATTTAAGGCAAGTGTCTTGAGCTAAAGAGAATCCTCTGCCTATTTCCCATGTTGCTTGTTCAAAATTTCTGTTATCTACAGCACCTTTAGAAAAAGTTCTATGTATTCTGAAGGCGTATGCATGTTTGTTTGTTTGTTTGTTTGTTTAAGAAAAAAGAGTACAAATGTTTAGGATCTCTTCAGCATAGGACCTCAATACATTAAGGGGCTTGCCAAGTGCAGAAGAGAAAACCGGAGGAAGAGCACATGGCAAGGCCAGATTTCACATGATGTGACATGCAAACCAGCCAAGGAGGCATGTACTGTACAGAGTTCTTACTTTTCACCACCTCATATGCATTTAATACTCAGAAGAAAGACACATGAAGAGGGATAACATAAAACTGTGTCCCCACACCACAATTGCACCTTTCTTTGCCTATAAACCCTACTAGATTAGCCTAAGACCCACACAAACTTTTCCGTGCCCAGGAAAGCCACCCAGCAAGGAATGTCGGAAGCAGCCTTTCAATGCTCTATCCTCCAGCATATAGTGAGGCTGTACGTAAGCCATAAGGCACAATAACCATTAACAGACTTATACTCCGTATATATTTTCAGTTCCTAAGGCCGTCCAGCTCTGCAACTTGTTACACTGAATTCCACTCAGGAGTTACTGCACGAGGTGCTGCCTCTCCTGTACATTGAGGAAACCATCAAAAGCCCGGTCCATTTTTGCACCAACAGGAACCTACCCCCCAAAAAACTTTGCCCATAGTTCTTGTTCACCCATAGCGCTACACAAGAACAGGGAAGCCCTTCCAATGCCGTGAAAGAACTCCTTCAGAGCACGGGAACAACTGTTTCTACCCACGTTGGGCTGGCTGCGGTGGCTTACCATGGCGCCTGCTATCAAGGGTGGTGATGGTACTGCTGCTTTTTCTCTAGCCCGAGGCTCTCCCTGCTGCAGCAGACACGCTCACGCGCCCGGCCTCCTTTCTCCCGTGAGTGACCCACACGTGAAAAGGGTCACGCACCGCGCATGCGCCTTCCACACCCCGAGGAGGAAATTACTTCCTAGGCCACCTGAGGAAGGGGGGGGGAAACCCTCGACATCGGTTCCCTATAAACCCTCGCCTTATAGTTCCTCATCACCGACAGCCCAGTCACATTTCTCTAAAATAACTGTTCTGTCCAGTTCATTCGTAGCCCGCTTCGTTTGCGCACTCCTCTCAGCCCCGGAGCGAAGGTCGGGGGAGGGGGCCGCCCGGAAGTGAGATAATGCGCCGCGCGACCTTCAGCGAGCATGGGCATTCCAGAAAATTCTCGAACGAAGGGGCCCGGGAATCTGCATAGGGCGCTGCAGAGGCGGTGGGGGGGCCGGCGCTCGCGGAGAGGCTTCTGGAAGCCGCGGGCGGGCCCGAGCATTCTGCAGCTACGCCGGTTCCCGGGCCCGCCCGTCACGTGGGGGGCGGAGCGGTGCAGGACGCGAGGGGGCCGCGCTGCCTGCAGGCTGTGCGTGCAATCCAAGGCGCCACCTTGGTCGTCCCGCACGGACTGAGCGCTGAGTCGCCGTGTGCTCTCCCTGCTCTCTCGACTCACGTGCACGCCGCAAGTAAGTGAAGGAAAGAACCGGCTGGAGGAAGAGAATGAAAAAGATCCTCGGGTTCAGATTCTTTCCCATTTCTTCTCTTTTCTCCTTGTGCCAGGGGAGGCTTACTCCGAATGGAGGAAGGAGACAGCCTTGGGCTAAACGGATCAAAGAATTCGGGATCAGGGAACTTTGTACAACTTAGGGGTGGATAGGGGCGAATGTGTACCCTGAATTTTAAGGGGGATGCCAGTTTTTCGGCAGATCCGGCATAGTGGCCTCTAGCCTGTGGGAGGTGATTCTGCGATGAGCCCGCTAATTTTGCATGTGTAGCAATGCTATCTTTGTGTGCTGCTGATTTTTTTTAAAAAAAGGCTATGCTATCAGTTGCACGGAACCCCTCGCCCTTCGGTGGGATTTGCTTCTGAGAAGGCGTGCGCGGCTGCGATACAGAGCAGTGCAATGCCGATGCACCTTTCCGAATCCACGAGCTTTCGCGGTTTAGCTTAGTACGTGTGCAGAAGGCACTGCTTGGGCTAAGAAAAAGCCTAGTACCATAGTAAGTTTGTTAGGAGGGTAGAAAAATATTCCAAGATTCGGGTTTTTTCAGCCATTTGCTTTAAGTCAGTCTGCCCCCGCCCCTCGAAATCTGGCGCCTTCCAGATATGTTGGGCTAGAGTCCCACTAACTCCCAGACTAGGTGATGTTGGGACTTGTAATCCAGCCCATCCGGAACGTGCTAGATTGGGGGTAGACTGCTTTATGCAGTCGAACAGCGTTAGGCCGGTCTTGAGCCCCACACGTGCTTTTTTCTGTGTCCTTATTTCGTTACGCAAGTTACCAGCGGAGATCTGTTGTTGCTGGTTCTTGGTCCAGATTTCCTTTTGTCCGTGCTGAAGATGTATTCTCATCGCTACCCTGCCCCACATCCATGGGGAGGGTGGTGGGATTGGTGGGCAGCAAGGAGGCTTCCTTGCAGCGCTGCTGTATGGGCGGCAGGGGGAGACGCGGCTCTTTCGTGACCTTGTTCTCCGACCCGATGGTGGATGAAACACGTGCGAGGGCCAAAGGATATGCTTGGCCAATTCCTTGGACTTTCTCCTTTCACTCTCTCACCTCCCCTTTTGAACATTCTGGTTGCTGCTTCTCCCTCCCCCAACATTATTTTGCCCCCTTTTCATAGAGCTGGCATGTCTCAGTAACTTGCCTGTCTTAATACTGCAATACTTACTTCAATAGTGCCCCTTCATACACTATCTTAAGCTTGTTTGAAGAGCAGCTTGCTCAACAAATGCAACTAGAAATTGAGAAGGTAATGATGTTTGCACCATTTTAAAGACTGTCTTTGCTTCCTAGTGCATATGTATTTGTTTATAATTTAAAATTCTCAAATAATGCTTTTAATATTGCTGAGTACAATATAATGTGCCTTTTGCACCCCTGGTACAGTTCTGGTCAGAATTCAATGAAGCAGGCACCTGAACAAAGCGTGTAAGTCTGGGTTGTCAGCCCATTTAGGGGATCATTTCATGAAATGAGGACAAAGTTGTGGGACAGTTCCTTAACCCCCACAATAAAGTGCCTTGTCCACAAGCTCCATTCTTACAGATGTCACTTTGGCCATGCTTCTGTTTGCTGGCATTCATAAGGACACAGGATTTAGCTTGGAAACCCCATTATTGCTGCTCTTGTAGCCATCTGTTCTTTCCTGTCATTTTTTGCTGTATGTAAAAGGTGAGGCTCATATTTAGATGGCTTCAGTCATTTTGTGGGATATACTGAAGCCCGCATATTAGGCACAGAGAGCTTGCTTGAGGACTTGCTACACTCCTGAGTTGCATACTCTAACCAGTATCCTTGAATTATTGCTCTTTGGAATCCCCTGCTAGCATGGCCAAGGTCAGAAATGCTGATAGTTGAAGTCTAGAACCCCTGGAAAGCTACTTTCTGCTCATCTCTGCTCTAGTGCATGGTCGACAGGCTTCGGAGAATAGTTCTATTGCTGGCGGCATTGGTACTGAGTTGTGTCATGTTTAACAGTTTTCACTTCTTTATAGAAATGCTGCGTTTACCAACAGTGCTACGTCAGATCAGGCCTGTGTCCAGAGCACTAGCTCCACACCTTACAAGAGCCTATGCAAAAGATGTAAAATTTGGAGCTGATGCTAGAGCTCTTATGCTACAGGGGGTGGACCTTCTTGCTGATGCTGTAGCCGTCACCATGGGACCAAAGGTATGAAAACTATCTAACCTTATATTTCTGTGGGGAAAGCGTGCTTCTGAAACATCCTAACTTGAAGGGATGAGCAACAGCCAAAATGCTTCTTAGATAATTGATCCAACTTAATTTGACAGCTTTTGAGACCTGCTGGAACATGGGCTTAAAAGTGTTTAATGCTAGCTGAAAAGTATTTAATGCCCTACAGCTAGAGCATAGCTGTAAATTTACTTCCACTCAACATTCTTCCCCGTGATGAGTTAGGTTTATTGTCAGGCAAATACATGAATTGGGAGCCAGTGGAGTGGTAAGAGTGTTGGACTGAGGGCCTGGGAGATCCAGGTTCTACTCCCTGTTCAGCCATGAGGCCCACTGGGTGACTTTGGGCCAGTCACTCACTCTCATTCTCACCCAGCTCACAGGATTATTGTTGTTGAGAATAAATGGAGAGAGGGAGGACTCTTGAGTTGCCTCGGGTTCCTTGCAAGGGGAGAAAAAGGCAGGATATAAATGCAGTGTAATAATATATGTAGGAAATGTGTCTTCAGTTTTGTTAGTCTCCTGACTTTGTTTTTCCTGGTCTGAAGGCTTACTTGGTTTCAGGGCTGCTAGGAAAGTGAAGCCAACCTGCATATGCAGCAAAGGTGAATGGGCCATGCTAGTACTGCCATATGAGGCAGAGCATGTGACATTCTCTTTGCCGTATGCCTTAAAGGCAGCTGACCCTTTGCAGTGGGGGTGTGTGTAGCCTTTTGGGAGCAGGTTGGTTTTAAGGAGGAATTGTGCTAGTCTCCCTGGTCTGGAAAAGAGCCTGTGCCTGTAATTGGCCTCCCAGGGTGCTGTAGAGGGAGAACCAACACAGAGATGAGCAGCTGCCTCTCCCCAGGTGCAAGACAAGCAGCAGGGCCGCCATGGCAAAGGGATACAGGAGTGGGCACCTTGTGCAGAGGTCAACAAATGTCAGTGTCCCTAGTGAAAGCGCTAGTAAAACGAAGCAGAGCCCACAGCCTTCTCTGGAACCTGGCAAAAGTGGGACTCTCCTTGACCTCACAGCCAAGAGAGATTCAAGAAACCTCTGCTCTGAGTTTCTTTGGGTTAAGTACAAAATTTGAGAGATCACTCCAAACTGGGCCTCAGGAAGACATCCACACATGATTTGATATCACCCAAAAAAGCCAGCTCCACTAGTGTTAATGGTTACCACAATATTTGGCTAGCTATCAAAAACAACCAAAACTTGTAGACTCCCTTTTCCATTGTTCCTGTGTTGATTACACAGTTCCTGCTTACATTTAGCATTCTAGCAGTTCCATGGACCATAAGCACTCAGTTTTTGGAATTCCAGCTCTTGCTCGCCAATGTTGCTATGTTGTATCAAATGCTGCTATTGGCCTTGAAGATGCCTAGTAAAATATGACTTAGCTTATATGTGGATCCTTAAGTTCTGAGTTGTAGTTGTAAAATAAGGTTCAGGGTATATTTGGAGGCCTGATAATAGTTCTTGTACCTTAATAAGGTGTTGGCTGAGTATCAACATTGGTGAAAATAATTGCAGACATTTGGAATGGAATTTCAGCTGTACATAAATGCTTTCTGTGTTGCATTACAGGGAAGAACAGTAATAATCGAGCAGAGTTGGGGAAGCCCTAAGGTGACAAAAGATGGTGTGACAGTAGCCAAGTCAATTGACTTGAAGGACAAATACAAAAATATTGGTGCCAAGCTAGTCCAAGATGTTGCCAACAACACCAATGAAGAGGCAGGAGATGGTACTACAACTGCAACAGTACTGGCACGTTCAATTGCCAAGGAAGGATTTGAAAAGATCAGTAAAGGAGCAAATCCAGTGGAAATCAGGAGAGGTAATGGCATTGATACTGTCGGTTCACTGCTGCCAGTCCCAGTTGCAGAATTCAGAATTGCATTTAAAGAAATGTAGAGTGATATTTAGTAGTATTTCATTTGGCTCTGAATTGAATTTTCTGGTTATCTTCAAATGGGTGAGCTGTGTGACACAGTGTTACTTTTGTTCATTGAAAAGGAATGGGATATGTCCTAATTACTTTGACACACATGGCGGGACAACTTGCAGCGCTGCAGAAATTTTAGCTTGCAACTCATGTCATCCCTCGGTATGCTGGCTTGAGCTGATAGGAGTTGTAAGCCACAAGGGCCCACTCCCAGTTCAGTGCAATCCAATGGGCACAATTTTGTGATCTGTTAAACTTGATTTTTTTATCTATTGGTGCTGACGACAGCATTCTTTTGCTTTCTGAATTGCTTTCATGTGCCTCAAAGCAGGAGTGGTAGCCCAGGTGCGTTTGAAACTTCACACTGAAGGTCTGATTGCTGGTCATATTTGTCAAGATAGATTATGTAATTTGCTCACAGGGGCTTTCCTGTCAGTGCTACATTAGTTGTGGCTAT